TCTACATCTGTAAAAACATCTGTTAAAGCACCTTTTTTGAAAGGGTTGATGCTCTTTCACTTTAAAATGAAGAGATAACATGGTCGTGCGATCAATAGGAGATAAGGGCAGTGTTACTTGTTTGAATAATATATATAGCTATGTGTATGTGTGTGTGTGTAGACAGATAGATATACAGTATATATATATATATATTTTTGTGGCAAAAAATATACTTCACCTTTAAAGACAGAGCAGCTGTACGAGACTGTAAATATGTGCAGCCTGAATTAGGTTTGTGAGGTCCATTCAGTATTCTATTTGCTCACACTGTGAGTGTCACAAAGAAAATGTTAATGTATGTGTGATATTTGTGGAGTGTCCAGATGGAAACCACGCAAAGGAGAGGGCCAAGGTCATAGGAACACACACACACACACACACACACACACACACCTACCTCATAGCTAATGTGACAAGACAGCAGCAATGACAAGGAAATGAAAGGACTGAATATTTATTCAACGTAAAGAACAGCAAACCAGGACACATAAAGATAGAAAACAACACAAGAATACTGTTTTTAGCTCCACAAACAAACTTTCACAACAAAAATAAGAGCAAAACATCTTGAGGTCAAGATTTAACAGAAATAACATTTATGACAGTCTTAGAGCTACACAGTGGCAGGGAGTACCGTTGGTCAAATAACCAAACAAACCTTTTAGATTGAACAAAATTAGCTCCAATTATTTCATACTAGTTGGCCATACATTAAGACACTGCAAATATTAAAGTCCATACATTTTATATACCTCACATAAATCTTAAGCCAAGTACATAACCTCACAATTATATGTAATTACCCAGGGTTCACTGAGGAATCTTGGGTTTCAGTTGTGTTTGACAACAGTTCCACTTGAAATCTATTGCAACATGCATGTTACAGAGTAAGTCAAGTTCATTAGGAGCTTGATAAAGTAAAACGTAAATCTTTCTTCTCAGTATATAACATGTAATCCTTATTGTTTGGTCTCAAACCCAGAACCAACCAACAGAATAAGCTGCAGAATGTACTGGCTAGGCAGACCGAAAACGTAAGCAAGAGGGTCATAAGGGCAGCAAAGTGCACAAAAAAAAATCTTAGAATCATATTATACATACGTTTGTAAACGCAGATGCAAATGCTCAACTAGTGTGTTACAGGTGTCCTGTTGTAAATGCATTCTTGTGTTACATTTGATGATAACAAACCTAATACTCAAAGGGGGTGCTATCCTTAAATGTGCCTTAAACTAAACAGGATATTATTCAGCTAGCTATTAAAATAAAAGTTGAAGACAATTTACATTAACGCCTACTATCTAGCGCCTCTTGTGGCAATGTTGAGAATACGACAGATACTAGCATTGTATTATGGATTGCATTGCAATGACATGCATCACACTTGCACAACTAGAAGTGTTTATGTTCACATATTTGTGTCGAGTTTTGAACAGTTTCATTAAGATGTGGCAGAACAACAACCTTTCTTTACAACAACGACAAAAATAAAAATAAATAAAAACAATGCAAAAACATTGTTTCTTAAATTGACCCATCACAAATGCTCCCTTTATATTTTTGTGCAAGAAACTCAATATCGAAGTAAACGACACATATGCATGTTTATATGTATGTATATAAATACATCCACCATTATGCATTATCCATGGGCAAATCATTACCCCTGCACTTTTCTTTAAAGGTCATTTGGCACAACTTATAATTTGTCTATAATCATGTTGCATGGCAGTCACATAGTCATAAACATAGCAGTTTGTTTTGAGGCAGGCAGCTTCATCAATTCACTTGTTCTCCAGCACAGCACTTTACTTCAGACGAATTTTGACTTTCTTTTCTGCACTGACAGTTACGGTATGACTTTTATTGCAAACATATATCCATGATGCACATCTTAGTAACTGGGAGACAGTAGAAGACTGTTTATCTCAAAAATGCCCTGATATAGAGGACATCGAATCGGTATGTCAGAGAAAGCAGTTTTCTGTGTCATTTTTAAGTCAAGAAGTGTCGCCCTAACAAGATTTAGTGGGATACCAGTCATTCCCTTTGACACGGCCTACTGTATGTCGCCTATGTCCTTGTTCTATCAACCTTTTGGTATTGAATCACAGTGTAATACGACATAAAATATCTAGCATGTGTGGCATGAGTACAACAAGCATGACGTGACGAACCACCAAGAGGAACAAGATTGATGTCGTCCAACAAAAAAAAAACTACCAAAAAAAACACACTGTCCTTAGAAGACAATGTTAATCTTATACTATTACAATAATAGAAGCCTGAAATGTGTACCTATGATGTCCTTGAGCTTTCCTACTGCAGTTTCTCATACCATAACAAGAATAAGGCATTTTTTAAAGAACAAGTCACATATCAAACCCAGACAATTGTGAAAAGAAACCAGAAAACTCAATAAGATTACATCTACCAGCTCCACTAACCACAAGGTTGTGTCAGATGCTTTGGGACATGCAGAAAAATGCTGGATTCATTTTTTTTTCTTTTTAATACAGTATATACAGAAAGCCTGGCAGATTGTACATTAAACATTTAGAAAGCTGCACACAATATGGCACATCTAGCAAAGTTAGCATAAGGCTAGTGTTAGTAGCCAAGATGCTAACCATTCAACGTGATCCAGAAATTTTAGACCTGAAAAACACACAAGGGGGACTTCAAATGTGTAAGCAAGCTTTAAAGCAATAGTTTAAGCAGTAAATCAGCAAAATTTAGAAAGTTTTTGAGTCAGAATTCATCAGTGATAACTTTACCAATTAGCATTTGTAGTGCTGTACTACAGTACATTTTACTGTCACCCTTATCCTGATCTTCCATGAACATTAAAATTTCACTGGTAGTATCCTTCATTTGCATGTAAAAAGCCAGATGTCACACATATTAGACAAGTATGCCAACAAAGTTTACAGAAGTAATGCTTTTGGTAATGAACACGACTACGTTTCCCAGGTATCCTATTTCAAGTAGGCTGACAACATCCAAGAAAAAAAAAAATACAACTTTTACTTGTTCTTACATTTGAATAAACTATCATGCCACTACCCTAATAGCACACGTAGAATACATCATGGAGATGTTTATTTAGCGTGCACATTTTCACCTGGAAGATCAATTTTTTTAGTTTGATCATCTATAGACATTTACACATGTCCTCAAAGCAACTGTATGCAACTTATATACAGTTGATTTAAGATGTTTATGATTTAGAATATTTGTAAAACTGCTTTTTAGAAGATGTTTAGCAGATGTTTTCCAAATGAAGAACTCGTTAAGACGTCTTAGAGATGTACGTGTGCCATCTGGGTTAATTATACCCAATGTTGTTTTTGCAGATTTGTACTGATGCTATAAGCGTTATACTGTGTACTGTAAAAAACATAGATCATGTATGCTATCAGATATGTAGCTAGCATAAATAGATTTAAATTCCTATATAAATATACTTGTGGTTTTATTTATGATTTGTTCTATTTGTGTCAACAATCAATACCAACATCAGTTGATCTAGCCCTACTATAGCTCAGATGAGATGTGAGGAGCCTACGGATATGCACTCCAGATATTGTATTTGGCTATTTGAAGGGCCATTATGAGATACAAAAACATAAAGCCTCTTGATAACACAACAGCATATGTGGTGATGTAACTAATTAATAGATTGTCATGCATTCATTTATTCTTAACACATCCTAATGTATGAGAAAAACAATCTTATTATTATTTAGAATATTAAAATAAACATGAGTTCTATCTATTCATTCACTAATATATCCACTGATTAAAACTTACAAATATTGAATGTCTTGTGTCTGAAGCTACTGATCAACAGCCACGTTACAATTTTATATATATATATATATATACAATCGCTAGGACCAATTTCTCCATACTTAGGTAACTTTTTTTATAACTTCACACAGTGAGCACAACAGCAGTCTGTGGGCTAAAACGTGGATCATTTTTTCATTGCTTTGGCACAAAATACAATACTGAAAAACTGTAAACATGGACATTGTATTTTTATGAGTGACAAAGTATGTCGGTTGGATGACAACCTTTGAAAGAGTTATGGAAAAATAAAATGATTTGAGACATGCATGATGCGTTTTGGTATTTTTACTGCATTTTGGATGTGAAATTTGCTAATGTAACAGGAGGAAACCTAGTTAGGAGAATTGTGTGAAGAGTTTAGAAAAAGTGACCTAAGTATTGAGAATTCGGTCTTAGCAGTTGTTAAAAAAAAAAAAAAAAATGTTAGTGTACACTGTTCATGAAATGAATTGAATGAAATGGCAAAGGAAATGTTTTTTTGCTTAATATA